AAATGAAGAAAATAGAACTTTTTATTGTCAATATTATAAAATTCTTTTAAAACATCTACTAAATACAAAATGGGTTAAACAGAGAGTGGAATTAAACCCAAAGTCACAATTGATAAAGACCTTTCAAAGGAATAAGAAATGGCAGAAAATGAAATCAACTAAGAAGAGGATAAACATGGAAAATATAATTAAATCAAAATGTAAATTAGTGAAATTATTTTAAAATAGGATGGAGGGAATGACATATACACAATATAAAATATGGTGTTTCTACCAGTGCACAATTTGATTTCCAAGGAAGAAAATAGAAAGAATAATTATTCATCAAAAGTAAAGTAGAAAAAAATCATGAGCCCAAAGCAAATAAACTAATCTGATTTCTCAGTTTCCCAAAAGAATGCTCAGTTCTGAGATGTATTCAGTAAATAAAATGGACATGAATTTTGACTATCTGTATTTGGGGACCTGCTCAGGTGGATTTTGAAAGTGATTCTAAAGTATCTAAGCAAGGAATACAAACAGATAATTTAGAGGCAAGGCAGGTTTATGTTTTGCTCCCTTCACCTGTTTTATTTTGTTTTTAGATTTACAGCCAATGCCAGAAATTAAGGAAAATTCAATAATATATAATAGAAAGCTAAATTAGCAATAGCTCCTTAACAAATTAACTAGTTAATGCTCATTGTTTTTAAAATACCCCCTCCCCTTTTTTTAAGCATTTCAATTCATGTATTCTTAGTTGGGTAATTTTCTTCCAGGTGGAGATTTAGTGACCCATTACCTCACTTATTCTTGTGGCTCTCTCATTTCTTTTTTTTTCTTCTTCTTATTGAAAGTATTACAGATGTCCTGTTTGTTTGTTTCTTTGTTTGTTTGTTTTCCCATTGACCTGCTCCACTCAGAACCTGCCCTTCCCAGGCCTTCACCTCTCTATTGTCTGTGTCCATATATGCATATAAGTTCCCTAATCACTCCCCATGTCCCCACCCGCTCCTTCCCTCTGAAATTGGTCATTCCGTTCCATGTTTTTATACCTCTGGAACTATTTTGTGCATCTGTTTATTTTGCTCATTAGATTCCACATATAAGTGAGACCATGTGATACTTGTCTTTCTCAGCCTGTATCTCTGGAGATTGCTCAGCAGGGTTACATGTCTGGGCCTTCATTCAATTGCCTAGAACACAAATCACATGCTTACAGTCAACTTCAAGTAAGATTGAAAACATTTAGCTCTGTGAACTGAAAGAATAGGAAACAAGTTTGTTATGAGCTAGAAATCTCTGCCCCATATATCCTTCTGATTTGCCAAATATTCGTTCATGTTGTTTCCCTCACACAAACCACTGCCATACCCTATCCAAAGAGACAAGCTAAAGACCTGTCAAGCCAATATATCCAACTCAAAGATAAAGATCAGACATGCTCAATCCTCTTCATCATATCTGTGTGCATTAGTTAAGGAACAAATGAGCCAAAAAACTAACGCTCCCCTCCACCCATGTACAACGCACAGTGATAGAACTGACCCAGGAGAAGTGGGAAGTGCTTTTTAAAAATCTTTGTAGTTGAGAGTATTACAGATGTCCCTCCTTGCCTTCCCATTGCCCTCCTCCACCCAGTTCCAGCCCACCCCATCACCACCCATGGGCGATGCGTATATGCATATAAGTTCTTTGAAGCACTTCTTAATATAAATGTTCCCATTTAGAAATAAAGGAAGAGTGGTAAGCAGTAGTTACTGATCCATAGCAATTATGGAAACCTGCCAGACTGGCATTAAAAGATCCCTCTGCCCTGGCAAAAACAGTTCCATGGAGAAACTGGAATCTCTTCTGTTCCTTCTTTTTTACTTCCCACAATTCTATCCTATGGAACATTCAACCTGATCAGTCATCCTCCTTGACCACATCTGAAGTGAGTGTTTCAGAATATGTCCTCTGTGGAGTTTACATAGCTTTTATTTTTTTAATTTCTTTATTGATTAAGGTATTACATATGTATCCTTATCCCCCCATAATCCCCCCCGACCCCTCCACTCATGCCCTCACCCCCCTGTTGTCTGTGTCCATTGGTTAGGCTTATATGCATGCATACAAGTGCTTTGGTTGATCTCTCCCCCTTACCCCCACCCTCCCCTAGTTTACCTTTTGCTTTCTTTAAATTTGGGGGTCCAAGGATTGAAGTTTCAAATAGTCAGACTTTTTTATCTATCTAGACATATGTTTTTTAGGCACAGTAGTTCTATTAAAATCACAGTAGACTTCTAATCAATGTGCCATATTTGTGTGCCTATAACCACACTCCATCTTTTTTAAAATCTATGATTATATTTCTATGGTAAGAAAAAACAACAGAACAATGGTTGCCCATTGGTAATACCTTTTAAAAATTTTATCTTTATTGTTGAAAGTATTACAGATGTCCCCTTCTGTTTCCCCATTGACCCCCTTTATCCTGCTCCTGCCTCCCCATAGGCCTTCACCACACTATTTTCTGTGTCCATGGGTTATGCATATATGCATATAAGTTACATGGTTAATTTCTTCCCCCTCCAACCTCCCATCCCCACCCCTCTGAGATTTAAAGGTATAATTTCCAAGCCTAATTTATTATTTTTATTTTTTCCTCCTCTAAATCCCTCTTTAGACTATAAGCAGCTACTATGATGCTATCTGCAGCAATGGGCTTGGAAGGGTAGGCTGTGCTTTCAAACTGATCCTTGCTATAGGTGCTGAGCCTTGGCAGATTTTGTTGATCAAAGCTTCATTTAGTTTTATTCCTTATTATGTGACTTCTATAAACAGTAGATTTCTCAAACTTTCAATATCCCAACAATTGGGCTTTCCTTTGATCTTTTAGATCTCTGCTTGAAAACTGGACAGTTTCTTGCGCTCATCTCTTTCCTGTAATATCTTACTAAAGGCAGAATATAAAAGCATATCGTTAATCTGTATCTTTCCACTCACTTCTTCTACAGCTACAAGCCCAACAAGCACTAAATCCTCCCTGCTGAGTGTTCATTCTCCTCCTTCTATCAATAATACTAAACACAATCTGTACCACCCTCCTCTATAGCATACTCTCCAGGATCCTTCCTACTGCCCTGTTCTCTCCCCTCAGTCTGCTCTGCTAGAAGCACTTCCTCTTTCTAGCTTTTAAATATGGGGGTTTTTCAGGGCTCGATGTTTAGACCTTTTCTTTTATCTAGACTCGCTCTTCTAATAAGTTTATTAATTTTCATAGCTTTAAATGACATTTATATAATGATAAATCCCAAGTTATCATCTCCAGCTCCATCCTTTCCCATGACATAATTTCATTTTTAAAATATTATAATTGTGTCCATCTCACCAAAAAAATAGACACATAGACATTTTTAGAAGGAGAAGAGGAGGATCAAAAGGCATAAAACTATGCAAAATCATATTAGTATTTGTTTATCCAGTTTCTATTTAAAATGAAAACTCAAAAGCAACAGTGATATATGGGAGAAATGTTGTATCCCCAGGTATGTTGTACGTTATAGGTACACAATAAATATTATAGATACACTATACATATTTGTTGACTAGAGGATTGGTGTGCTACACATTAATAAAGCTTTATTTTAATAGAAATGTGATAATTTTTAATAACTCATTCTAATGCAGATATGCACTCTATGACTAATAACACTAACTTAAGAAATATTTTCTTCTCTTTCCTAGATCCCAATGCTCTGGCTGGCCAGACTGGTCCTGATCATGCTCTTATAGGAGGAATAGTGGCTGTAGTTGTATTTGTCACGCTGTGTTCTATATTTCTGCTTGGTCGATATCTGGCAAGACATAAAGGTGAGTTGTATTTAATAGCGTTCTTAACTCTGACACAAACATTCTAAAGACTTGCTTTACAAATGAGATATTATATGAATGCACGTGTGTGTGTGTGTGTGTGTGTGAGAGAGAGAGAGAGAGAGAGAGAGAGGGAGAGAGAGAGAGAGAGAGGGAGAGAGGGAGAGAGAGAGATCTAAATACTAAATTAAGTTATTTCGGGGGAATTCTTGATTATTTTACTCAACTTTGAAGTTAAGTTGGCTTAGCCCTGGCCAGTGTGGCTCAGTTCATCGAGCACTGTCCCATGCACGGAAAGGTCACTTGTTTGATTTCCTATCAGGGTATGCCTGGCTGTGGGCTAGATCCCAGTAGGGTGCATTCAGGAGGCAGCTGATCAATGTTGCCTTCTCACATCTATGATTTTTTCTTTCTTTCCCTCTCTCTTCTCTCTCTAAAATCAATAATAGAAACATGTTTACAAACTAAATGAAGTTAAGTTGGCTTAGCAAAATAATGTTTAACCAATAGCCAAAGATCACAGAGTAAGTCATAGTTGGAAAAACAAAAACAGAAGCAAGTTTATAATTTATTTCTAGAACAAAAATTCAACTATAACATTAAGCTTTTGGTTATTGTTTTTAGGTTTATGGACACACGTGTGGCCATATTAGCGAGAATAATACGTGTTGTTGTTGTTTTTGTAATGGGCTAGGTAGCAAACTCTTGATATAATCTACTTTTAAATGGAGTTACCAAAAGAAATGGTGACACATTTGATGTGATCATTATCAACTGCTTAACAAAGGACCCTGATTGCTACAGCTGCATGGATCACATGGTCTGTATCCATCATTAAAGAAATCAAAGTATTCATTACCCACTCCAGCTTGGCTGTTATCTCTAGTTAACCTGGCCACAGCTTCCTCTACAACATTTACCTAAAAGCGGAAAGAATGTGTGCAACTTTACAAGGGTAAATTGTGTGGTTTATTACACCTCAGAATATTTTCTAACATGTAAGATATCTGGCATAAGTTCCTTCCTAAATCAATGCTGCTTTAATGCTAGCTATTTACCATTCTCACAGAACTAACACATTTTTCTTCCAATACCCGCAGGAACATATTTAACAAATGAAGCTAAAGGAGCTGAAGATGCACCAGATGCTGACACAGCCATTATCAACGCTGAAGGCAGCCAAGTCAATGCTGAAGAGAAAAAAGAGTATTTCATTTAAAATGCAGGCCAAGATTCTGAGTTTTACTTACCAGGCTGGCTGCTGGAGAAAACTGGCTATCATCTTTCAGAATTCATTTCTACCATCTTCGTTACCTTTATTAACTTCCATACCGTACTGCTATCCGTAGCCAGTGCATACCAGCAATCAGCTGTCGAAAGCATCCTTCTTTAATTACTGTACCATCCATAATGCAGGACATTTCTTACTGCCTAAATTCCACACCATTGCTCTTTTAACATACAGTGCTTGAATATACAGCCTTAACAATGTTAATCATCTCCTTGGGTCATGATATTGAGTTGTTTTTATACATTGAAAAATGTATGCAGAGATTTTTGTTTTTTGTTTTAACCCCCCATTTTTCACCCTCTTTACATCATGGACTTAGTCAGTTTGCCATTGGACACCTTTCACAAGAAACAGGATTAGATGAAGAGCTAATGTGCTTAAGTTTAATGAGACATTAGAGGTTTACAGATAATATTTTCTACATGTCTCTCTTCAAGGACATGCTTAGAAACATATGCCCTAGGAAACCACAAACGGAAAACACTGTAGTGTAGCTCGGGACTGTTTGTGACATACTGGTAAAGCTGTATCAATTTGCTATTTAAAGACATAGCATTTGATACAGGAGCCATGTGTATGAATTGTAATCATGTCATGGTATCTTATATAATTACATAGCTCCCACCATTAGGTTATTTTAGCTGTTTACCAATAAATTGCTACAAACATTTTACTGCTTTGGGAATCACAAAGATTTCATTCATTGCTCTGATTTGATTCTGTAATTTATTTGCTTCACAAGGACTCACCTTCCTAAACAAAATTGAAATATCCATAGGGCACAATTTTGAAACATTTTAGTATCTGTATATAGTGCATATAATAAATCCAATTAAACATTATTTGATACATATTTAACTTTTTGGCTGTAGGTAATTCAATCATAAGTAAGCATTTTCTAATGTCCATTATATCCCTTTAGATATTACTTAAACCAATATTACAAGTAGATAACACGTATTAGTATTTTGTCTGTATGTCCTAGCACTGTTCAACAACCAATTTTTCTAGTTCTTGTTAATTTTTATTTGTTATACAATGGAAGCACAATGTTATAAGGAAAGGTAATTTTAAGCTAACAACCAGTGCACAGCCTCAGGTTTTAAATTACAACCACAATAGAATAACCTAAAAATAAACTCTTAGTTTGCTAAAATTTTACAAATTTTAATTTGGCAGTTCCAGAGCTGCTTGCCTATGTTGGTTTGCCAAAAAGAAGTGTTTAAGATATGTTTTCTGTATAAATGAACTAATTCTTTATATTAAATTCCTGTCTATGCATTTTGTGAGGTACAAACTTATGAAACAATGAGTGATAGAGAATTTCTGCCATTCTTTTACCTCGAAGGTGAAAGTCTCTTTCTCTGGATTATTTCTGAAATTTTGGTGTATTTAACCATTAAGAAATGCTGTATTCTTAAATATGACACAGAGTTCATCTAAAGTCATATTATTTCTTCAAGTAAATAACAATATTGTTAGATTAGTTCTCATGACACTTGTTATATGCTAAAGATTAAAAATCCAGTTAGGTAAAAATTATTTTCCCATTCACAAGCATTGCACCTTTAAGAAGAAAACAAATATGACAATATGGAAGCTATACTTGTGATGTCAAAGCATGATGGCCTATGGTTTTAAAAATATCTTGGAATTCATTTGGGGGAAATGAGAATGTTCAAGTACGACATCAAGTGTTAATATCAAATGAAAGACAAGGTGCTGTATCTTAGATTATTTATCAGAAAAGTTTAAATCCTTTAAAGATGTTAGAATTTTAAATTGTTTTTTTATTGTTGAAGCATTTATCTTGTTGATTTCTTACAAAAGAAAAAGGATGATGTCAAGCAGCACTTTTTCAGAATATACAGAACATAAATAATATGATGTGGTTGAGTGTTAACATAATAAATCATATACAGTATGACATTTTAAGGAAATAAGTCTGCATTGATGTGATTGCATGCTTGTTTTTACAGTTCAATTCATACCATCTGTGGAAAAATGCAATAATATGTTAATATAGTATGGTAGTTTGAGAGAATCAGGTAGGTGCTACTAGACACATTGAAACTAGAATAGGTTTATAAACTGTTCATATCTTTCAATGCATAATCTTTAGAAAGACTCCACAAAGCAAAATTCATCCTATTAGTAAAAATGGAAAGGTTCTTATTACAGAAGTTGTATAAACTGCATCATCAATTACTATTTAAAGCCTAATTTCAGGATGCACTTACAAAATTGCTACTCTTCACTGATGTATTTACATCTCTCTTCATTTCATCTATATTCTACTTTGCTCCAACTGCTAAATTGTTTCCTAAATAACTCAATCATTATTTATAACACTGTAAAATTAGGGATCCAAAATTGGTTACATTTCAAGATTGTTGATTATTTAACCCTTTGGAGTAATATAAAAAATCATTAGAAGTCTTAAAAAGAAACTAACTAACTGGTATATTATGATTTGTGGGTTCTAATCAAATATTTTGCCAGTTCAATAGATAGATTTGGATTAGGTATTGTTTTTAGTTACTGAAAAAAAATAGCAATGGAATTATATTTTCCCAACTTTAAAAATTATTTTATTTCCATCAAAAAAAATAAAATATAAACGCTGCTTATTTCTATAAAATTCAAAATAAAATGAAATACCATTTTTAAATGGAACCATGTTAATTGCATCATCTGAAACATGCACACTCATACCCACAGAGAGTCAAATTCTGTCTCTGCTTAGCGAGCATAGTAGCTACGGAACTCAGTGAGAGTGTGCACACATGGACACACACACACACACACACGCACACACACACACACACACACACACACCCCTAGTAGGATATGGAACATTATTTTTTACCAAAAGTAGCTATTTTCTGCCAGTGTACTGTTTACAATGTAAAATGATTGTCCTTCATCAAAAATTGTAAGCGGTATTTTTTTCTTTTTCCCATTTTTGAGTGTCCTAGATAGAACAATTATCAAATTAGGAAGAAAAAGAAAAGTTTGTGAGTCCAAGAGCAAAGACAGAGAGCATGAGCAGAGTATTGAGAGTGTGGGTGTGTGTGAGAGGAGAGAGACATTGATTGACTGATTTCAACTTGTTTTCTTTTACCAGAGAACTCAAGAAGCAGTTTAAGGAACCTGACATTGGCATTTAAACTAGAAACTGGATGATCTTATATTGATTCAAGAAGCTTAATCTTTCATTGAAACCCCACAATTAAAATAAAAAATAGAGAAAGAAAACTAACTTTCCTAAATATGGCAAAGAAGCTAACACTTCATTTATTTTTATTTTTTGTAAAAATATATAAATATCTCCATTAAAGGACAAGTTCACGTGTAGTTACTTACTCATGATTGTGATAGCATTGAGATTCCATATAGGCACATGTACAGCAGCTGTGACACTGACGGTTCTTCCATGTAATATAGCAGTTATCGTGTAATATAGTGCCACTTATTGCAAAGTGTTACCAAGGGGAACATTTAAAACACTTTTCCTTTTTCTTTGGACTTGAAGGATAATTTAAAGAATGATAAATATGAAATTTCACATTAGGTTTTTAACTGTGGAGAAAATGAAAACTCCATATCTTACTGCAACTTCCTGGTCATATTACTAATTACTCAGAGCCCTCTATAAATGCCCATATTACCCCCCTTTGCAAGTGTAACCTGTGATAAATATATAAAACAAAACAAATTAACAAAAATCTGGCAATGACAGCTGAAATAAATGAAACACCTAATCACAATTACTGAGTAATGCTTTTTTTAAGTGGCACAAAGTACACACTAAAAACTATGCAAAATATAGGTAACTACAGTGTACGTACATGTAAGTATCTTGTACTTGCTGTGTATGGATGTTTGAAACCCATGTAATTATAATATGCATTTTGAATATTGGGAAAGAGGAAATCTTAGTGTAGATAATAGAATTTCTTTTGAAATATACACTGGCAATATTGAAAATATACTCAGTGCAATATCTGCAATTCTATTGCTGGATACTTAATGCAGAGGGACTTTAAGAATTTTCCAGGAGGCCCAAAAGGTTGCTAATCTTCACCTCCCACATACTGAATCATTAATTTAAAATACAACTGCCTCAACGGAACATTAAATTTTTCTTTCTTAATCATTAATGTGACACAATAAAATTATTTGGCCTAGTTTTCAGCCTTATTGGAGAGAGAAAAAATTTGATTTACATCTAATTCAATTTAGAATTCTTAAACTTTCTTTGAAATGTGTGTATGTTTTAGAATTGTGACACTCTTATTATAAGTACAAATTTACTTAATCAAATACACAGGTTACCTTTAATAGGTAAAGTCACTACATTTCATTGGAATTTTTTTAATCTTTGTTTTTCAATTTATTTTTTCCCTTTCTCTCCTTATTCTACCCCAAACATGCCCTTTGCACTTATATCCTTCCAAAGGCAATGGATTGAAAGTAAAAAGATTATAAACTGATCTAAGGGGAACAAAATATAAGAATGGGTTCTAAACTCAGCATTATCAATGTTGAATGCAATCATTATTGAATATAGCTGGTAAGTTCTCTGCGATGTATACCTATGATAACCCTGCTACCTCTCTCTTTTAACATGGGCTATGACACTTCAATATAAATAGAAGAAATCATGATTTACAAGATATCCCAGGAAGCATGGTTTGGGGGCTATCATAACAGGCTGCGCCCCACACTCTGGGAATTCTCAGAAGCCAACTTGTTTTAGCGTATTCAAGGTTGTATAGATCTGCATTTGTTTTCCTTTTCTATTATTAACTTTTCCTGTAGGCAAAATATTGCAACTATAAAAGGACAGATCTCCTCATGCCTATTTAATATTTCAATGTAATATCATTGTGTTGATTTTTAAAAAATAATTTAAATGGCAACACTTTGTAGTTCAATCTATTTATTTAATATTTAAAATGCAATTTCTTAGTAAATAATACTGTGCTTTTAAGTAAAACTTTACAAATATAATTTATTTTTCCAAGCAGTGTTATCTATGTAAGACAAAAATTTAAGCATTTAAGACTGCCTCCATATTAACAAATAACCTCTAAATAATGAATGCAAAGTATTGCCACAAGTGTCCATTTTATTTTGTGTGCACAGACATATGAAATTTTCAAATTATGCAATTTAATTATTCTAAAATAAAATGACATTTTAAAAGCAGATCTTCCTCCAGAAAAAAAAGGGATACAATAATAAAAATCAAATTATGACCTTGAATCTGTAATATATGCTTGAAGTCTAAGATGTTTCTATGTTATGTGGTTTTGTTATAAATACTATTTGATCCTATCTTTATAATCTCTTCCATATATGTGTATATATATGTATATATGTGCATATATGCATATATATGCACATATATACATATACTAATATAGGTATATGCTAGTTACAAGAAATGTATGGTTATTTGGGAGAGAATGGGCCCAAATGTGAAAAAGATGTAAAAAAAAAAACAAACCCACTATTTCCCCTCTATGAAATATGCTGTATATTTCAAAAGAAGACAAGTTAAAAGATATTTGAAGATTGCAGGGGCAAAAGAAAAACCTACCAGGGCTCAGCACTTAAGCACTTTTCCTACATCCAGGGTCAGAACAGCAGTGATTCCTACACGGACTTTCAAGTGCGGTATGAACGCCAGAGTACACTTCTCTTACACACAGTACTGTCAACCTCAGATGTTTTCTTTCTTCAGATGCTTTTCTTTGTACATGATACTAGTAGTCACTTTTCTCTTTATATTTGCTGATAGCGAAAGTTATATGCAATAAAATATTTGATAATTGAAAGCAGTGTTTACCAGTTGGTTAGAAAAAAACTATGAAATGTAAACTGAATTATCTCTATATCCTTTTTGCTTTTCTCTGTGTTTCTAATGTATTGAAGGTCTCTCATAAGTAGAAACATAATTTAGACATTTTTCAAAACTAGTACTCTTCCTCCTTTTAAATGTATAAAATTTTTAGCTCCTTACAAATTTTCAACTGTAACTGTTGTACCTATTGTAGATTCAATGATGCGGTTAAGTAGTAACCCAAGGATGTATGAGTTTGGGATTACTAACCCATTTTCTTCATATTCAGTTCACATCAATATTTGTGAATTGGTTATTTTGCTTTTCATTCAACCAAAAAATATTCCCTCAAGAAAGCTCCATTTTTATCATAAATATTTCAATACAACCAACATTGAAACAAGTCTGCCATGTTAAAAATAATTTAAAGACTTATCTCTAAAAATTGTATTCAATAAATGCAGGTGTTCCCAGTGATGTGGCTTCGAAAATAAAATGTTCTATTTATATGATATGAAATTCATAACTTTTGGAAGGGTATATTTATGGCAGCATAAAAATTATGTGCTGTAAAGAAGATCCATAAAAATCAAGCATATTGCACAGTTATTGAATCTACTGTTATCATTAACATTTTCAAAAAACAAAATGCATATTGTAATATTACGTACATGACACTTGCATGTTGATATGCCTATATACTCACAAAGTATTCAATGTGTACTTAGTGGCACTTAAAATATGTCATGTACAACCCTTATAAACATTCTTACAGGGTTTCCGTTTGCAATTCATCTATCAGTAAAGCCTTGTCAGGAAAAAAAAATGCCCAATATATATGGAAAAATAAAATTTGAATTTTAGTTATCTGTTGGACATTACTGAATTGTCTATTCATTTAGTTTATTTTATTAGAGTTGAAAACAGACATTGAAGATGGAACTTTCTTTTTTCCCACTGATAAGTTATTAAAGATTTACAAGACATCTTCCTTTATACCAAACACATTATTTTCTATTTCTAGTTCAAACTGCATACATCATTCATTTATTTTAGATATCCTCAATGATGCCCATTTTTCTTTT